CCCTTGCCGTGATCCCCACGATGACGCCGGGACGGCATCAGAGAGAGAGAGGACAAAAAAAGACGACCTCCGTCTCAAGGGTTGGCACACACGGCCGGTTCCAATCAATCCAGATAAGAAGATGATACAAGCACACGAAATGCTCTAGGGCGTTGCCTTGTTTCGACCTCTGAAAAAGATTTGATTGATTTAAAGGATAATAAATGACTTGTGCCGAAAGCAAATGAGAGAGCCCCTCCGCTTGATACTGAATACCAAACCGAAACTGGAGTCGCATCGGCAGGAGAAACGAAAAAAAAGGAACCTAAAGTCTGTCCTTCTGTTCTCCTCCTGAGCGACCCCGGCTGATGATGCGCCCGTCAAACATCATATGTGACCAAGGTCGCCCCGGTGGTCTAGTTGGTAACCTCGAAACCTTCTAGAGGTCAGGTCAGGGGTTCGAATCCCGGCGTAGGCGAGCTTTTCTTGCAAAGTGAGTTTTTCTCTCGCCTCCGCTCCTGGCCGAGTGGATAGCGCTAGTTCGTGTGTACACAGAGGGAAGAGAGTGCTGAACTCTTCTCGCATTAAAAATCGTAGGCAAAGTACCGCAGGAGGGGAGGGTAGAGAGGGACTCTTCTGTGTGACCACGGGTCGGAATAAACGGCACTAGTGCTGTGAGCGCTGATTTGAAGTAAAGAACAAAAAAAAAAAAAAAAGAGGTGAAAAAAGATCGGGGCCCACAAGCACACAGGCGCGACTCACACCTTCACGAACAGCGTTACGCATCAGAGACTGGCTGTGTTCTAGATGTATGTTAACACAGACCCTGTGAGCGTTGCGCGTGTGGAAAATTGTTATTAGTTGTGTTCGCCAATATTTCGGCACCTTTCATTATTAATTATCATTTGATTCGGCAACAACAACAGCAATGACTCTCTGCAATCAAAGGGACCACAGACACTTCATCATCTTGTAGACGGCTCCCCTGTCTACACCTGCATGTAACGATGTGGTACACCTTGAGCTGTCATTGGCCAGTCGTCCAATGCCGCGAGAGACTCCCATCAGAAGCACACCAACCAACCTCTTCTAGAACAAGGCCAAATCTAACCCCCCCCCCCCCCGCCTACTTGATCACCCCACTCATATTTACAGAAACAACTCCCCCTGCTTGCCACCACACAGAGTTAGTTGGGCGACAACAACAACAGTCACAACCTTCGTTGTGCACTTCAAGCCGGGCATCACCGTCAAAGGGAGAACAAATCTCGTCTACCAAAACAAGGGGCAACCCTTCGAAAAAGGTTCCCAAAAGGTTGTGTTTTCAACAACTATGCATACACTAAATACACGATGCACGCCGCTTGACCAAACTCTGCTCTTCAGCAACGTGACAGGCCGTCAAACAAAACATGGATCGTTTGTATACTTCAAGAAAATATGCGCGAGAACTCGACCTCTATCACCCTCCGTCGCGACAATTTCCAATTTTTTCAGAAAATGAAGACTCTCAGAACATAAAGGAAGATTCTTACAAGAAAAGAAGTGTACTCAGAACATGAGGATGGATTCTCAGAAAATGAACAAGAATCCTCAGAACAGAAGGAAGAAAATGACGAAGAGGTAGGAGTGTCACAATCAGCATGGCAGCAACTTACTTATTCCATAGCAGCCGAGGCTGTTCCAGACCTAACAAAGCAAATACAACAAACACGTGACCACTCCAAGTACCACCCCTTCCCCCCATACTCCAAACAACTGCCGTGAGAACGACGAAGAAATTCTACAGCAGTGTCCACGCTGTACCCCATCACGGCCACAAACATTACCGGCCGACAGACAGCGTTGGATTTCAGCACACACTCCTTGGTCGCTCCCTTTCGAGTGGTGAATAACAACACGTTTGATGGAATACGACCTCCCCCCCGGGGTATTATAGCTCGCAATGCGACATCCATAAGTCTCAGGAATTACACCTACATGTGATTCGGGTGACAGAAGCAATTTGCCGAAACGTGGCGTTATCTTCCTGTTTTAGATGTTCATGTCGGCTGTGGAGCCAGCACTTGCCCGAGGTGGCTTGCTCTGATCTTCAACGGTCGAGCTTCACAAAACACTACCTGCCTTCTCTCTTCCGTCTCCTTTCCACTCCATCTTCGTTCAAGTCATCGAACAAGATATTTGGCAGTGAAAGGATATCCATCTATCATCACATGAAACCGTCATTGAAGCAACATCAAAGTCACCCAAAGCGAACCCTGCAATGAGAGGATGTGGCAAAGCCACCTATACATAAAAAAGCACCGACCCACCCCCTGCATGAAGATCGCACACGCAGGATCCCATGG